CTGCTCTACGAGCTTTATGTGTATTCGTGAATTTAATCCTTACAACCTTAGAGATTACTATTCTCCCCATTCTACACATCATGAACCCGAGGCATGTCATGTTAACGGCAGATCACGGGGCGATTTCAGCTTCCACCATCAAGCCGACTGAGCCCTGGTGGCACAGATGACACGCTAGGTTGCTAAGTGAAAGGCCTACAATCCAAACCTACCAGCCACTGAGAGGGATAAGGTGAGGCACTCTGTTTCCATGACAACTTACTGACTCAATCTCTATGGAGTACTTCTGTTCTACAGGGTCACTTCAAATTGCTGACACAGCAACGCCTCTGTGGGTTTCCGAGGCTGTAACTTTTTACAGGAGTAGAAAGCCCAGTCTTTCTCCCCAAGAGCAACTGGTGGTTTCAAACTGCTGGCCTTGAGGATCGCCCCCCAATGTTTAACCACTACACTACCAGGGTTCCTATCAGTCAGGTTCCTGTCACAGGGTCAGGTCACCAAGAGTCAACAGCAGTGGACTCAGTTTGGTTTATCATCAAGCCTCAACCATCACACATACTGGTCAGGGTTCTAAGACTTATTCTTTGACTGTCCCAAATGAACCTCACTTCCTCCCTCTCCCCCCCACATTCCTCACTAGTTAAACCTTAGCTAGTTCTTTCTGCATGGGTGATGCTATCGCCTTGACTACTAGACTGCTGAAGATAAGCAGAGGATAAGAGACAAAATTATTTGCCTCAAGGATCTTATTTTCTAGGGAATAAAGGCTGGCTGGCTAATGTCCTGATCAGATAGAATCAAATTTGGGGAGGAAGTCAAGGAGCTAGAAGATGCAATGGGGCTAAGGAGTGAAGTAAAAGGGCTTGTGACCCCATGCAGCCCCTGTCCCAGACCTTACCTATACTGCTCCTGCTCACAGAGGTCGGCCACGAACGTCAGCAGCCGGCTGATGAAGGACTCGCTGCTGTTTTCCTTGTCAGCTTGTGCAGCCAACAAAGTGCATCTCTTCTCGGTCTCAGCCAATTTGTTCTGCAGCTTGACATATTCTTTGCGGAGAAGCATCAAGTGCTTCTCCAACTTGGCTACCTCCTCTGCAAGGGAAACAAAGAAGGCAAGTTTACCAGGGAAAACAAACAAACAGCAGGCCCACATCCCACCTACGGGATTGCTGCCAAATGAGTAAACACATGCCAGGTCTAATAGTTCTTGGTGATACCCCTACAAGACCCCGGCATGGCTTCACGATGCTGCCCTCTAGGCCAAGGAGACACTCGTGGTCCAAGATTTCTGCTCTCAAGTTCCCTGAAGCTAAATAGTCAATGTATGACAACGAATAGACAGACACATGAAGATTCTGACAGGCACTGGCTCTGCAAACCCTTCCCTACCAAGTCTGAGTTTCAGAGAGAAAGGACAGCAAATTGCCTACGACTTTCTATTTATTTTTTCTTTTGTTTTTAGATTCTAATTTTTTTAATCGTTTTATTAGGGGCTCATACAACTCTTACCGCAAT